CCCCCCCCCTCCCTTTTACTTGTTTTTCTATTGTTTTTTTTTCTTTTTTGAGAAAACTAGGGCGCAGTCAGGGTTACAGTTTGCAATTGCATTTCAAACTGCGTTTTAGCAGGCCCGAGTTTCAAATGCAGTTGAAACTCAGGCTGGCCTTTTTTAGCAGTTCAGTTAGTTTTTTTTTTTTGCTTCTTTTTTTTTTCCCGTGCGTGGCAGGCCCACGGCCGAGATGTCTCAGCCACACCCAAGGGAAAAAAAAAAAAAAAGCATCTCGTTGTGTGGCGTGGCCAAGGCCCAGATGTCTCGGCCATGCCTAATGGGGGGCAAAACTAAAAAAAAAAAAAAAAATGGGCCACGTGCCTGGCCCAACTGCTAAGAAAGGCCAGCCCGAGTTTCAAATGCATTTGAAACTCGGGCCCTGACTAAACTTCTAAAACGCAGTTTCAAATGCATTTACAAACTGCTTTGGTGACTGCGCCATAGTTACCCCTTTTTTTTTTTCTTTTTTTTTTTTTAAAAAACAACCCGATCAGCTGCTAGCGGTGCTGATAAGAGCAGGCACCGGTCTCTTTGTCAGGGAGGCTCCATCTATTGGTGCTGTCTCTTATACACATCTAGATGTGTATAAGAGACAGGTCACATGGGGGTGTACTAGTATGTTCCGGGGAATGCTTCAAATGCATTTACAAACTGCTTTGGTGACTGCGCCATAGTTACCCCTTTTTTTAAAGGACTCCGAAAAGGCAGTTCGAAATGCATTTACAAACTGCTTTGGTGACTGCGCCATAGTTACCCCTTTTTTTGGGGGGGTGGGAGGGGGGGTGGGTGGGAGGGGGGAGTTAACGTTGTAAATCAATCAATCAATCAATCAATCAATCAAAGCAGTTGATTGATTGATTGCTTGATTGATTGGTTGCGGGATGGTTGGCCCTCCCCCTCATGCACACACACACACACACACACCATTGATTTATTGACTGATTGGTGACTGACGGGCCTCCTCCCTTCCAGCGCGTAGGCAGAGCGTAGGCAGACACACATGCACACACGCATGCGCGCATTCAATGTGCTGTTTTTAATTTTTATGTTATTT